TTTTCATTGCCCTCTGCTGGACTCTCTCCAATTTGTCTACATCCTTTCTGTAGTGGGGGGGCCCAAAACTGGACACAGTACTCCAGATGTGGCCTCAGCAATGCTGAATAGATGGGAATAATCACTTCCCTCAATCTGCTGGCAACACTCATACTAATGCAGCCCAGCATATTCTTAGCCTTCTTCACAAGAAGGGCACACTATTGGCTAATTTTCAGCTTACTGTCCACTGTAACTCCCAGGTTCTTTTCTGCAGAGCTGTTGCTTATCCAGTCGGTCCCCAGCCTGTACCAGTGCATGGACTGTTCTGTCCTAAGTGCAGGACTCTGCACTTGTCCTTATTGTACCTTGTGAGATTTCTTTTGGCCCAGTCCTCCAATTTGTCTAGGTCCCTCCGAATCCTAGCCCTACCCTTCAGCATATCTACTACTCCCCACAGCTTGGTGCATCTGCAAACTTGCTGAGAGTGCACTGCATCACATCTTCTAGATCGCTGATGAAGATATTGAACAAAACTGGCCCCAGGACTGATCCTTGGGGTATCCCACTTGATACCAGCTGCCAAAAAGACACTGAGCCATTGAATACTACCCTTTGAGCCTGATGATCCAGGCTGTTTTCTATCTACTTTACAGTCCACTCATCTAACCTATACTTCCATAGGTTGCTTCCAAGAATGTTGTGGGAGACCGTCAAAAGCTTTGCTAAAGTCAAGGTATATCACATCTTCTGGTCTCCCCACATCCACAGAGCCAGTCATCTCATCACAGAAGGCAATCAGGTTGGTCAGAGATGACTTGCCTTTGGTGAATCCATGCTGACTGCTCCTAATCACATTTTTCTCCTCCAAGTACTTAGAAATGGATTCCTTGAGGACCTGAGGTGGGAACTGAGGTGAGGCTGACTAGTCTGTAGTTCCCTGGATCCTCCTTCTTCCCTTTCTTAACGATGGGCACTATATTTGCCTTTTTCCATGGACATGGGACTCCTCTAGTGTTGATTTAACCTTAATTGAGCTGTATAGCCTTACTCTAGCTGGGAGTAACACACAAAAAATTGACTCATTGTTAGAGTGGAATGAAACTTGGTCCTATCAGCTTTGCCATTTTTCTCTGTACCTCCTCCCTTAGGCAGAGTGAGCTTATCTGGTATTTTAGAGTTAGGTTCTTCATCCCATGTGCTTCCTTACCCAGAGAACCACCAGTAAGTGATTCTGGAAACAAACGAGGCACTGGCTTCTGGACACGGATTCTGAGAGAGGAGAAAGACAGTTTTCACAGATAGAAATGTTTAGGTACTACATATATACAGTCCTCTGCTCTTTGCCTCTTTAAAAGCCAACATGCACTTTAATATGTTAAGGCAGTAAGACCAGGACTAAGGTAAGCAATAGTACTTTACCATTGTATACTCTACTCACGTGCATATCAGATAACTGCACAATTTATTAAATTGCCTAACATAATACTATCCCCAATCTGTTGCCTATATTGCCAGTTATGTGCACATGCTGCTAAAGTGCCTAACATCTTTCAGCCCCACACTCTGTAACTACCCTTGCTCCACTCCAGAAACAGTGAAGGGGAAGCACCTGTCAAAGGACTGCTATTAGAAACCTTGACAATGCTGGAAGGTAGTCAATTTGAGGGCTGCTAATACCACAGCACCATGTAGGGTTACATTATGTTCACATAAGCGCATAAGCCAGGTAAATGCAGAGCCTTTTTTTGTTCTGAAGCTATGTATTTAAACAGAGTACACTCATCAAACCTGAGCAGATCTTAAGATAGTAGAGTATACTGTTTTCCATATTATGACTTGCAAGCTTTTATTTCCTTCAGAAGTGTGCTTTGACTTGTTCATCAAAGAAA